CATGTGCACAAATAAGGCTATAGTTAAAAAACTTTCCCTTAATTCGCATCCTATATGTTCTGTGAGATTTTGCCCGGAAGTCTAAAATAAGATGCTTCCTTTTTTTATTAACAATAAAACCTGTTCCAAACACGTGACTCTTCTTCTGACAACTATAGAGTACAATATGATCCCTCTTTTCCATGACTCCTCTACCCAACCACCTCAGTTCTTGTATAGCAGTGATATCTAGCTTATAGCTATCGAGTTGTTCAAGTGGCATTTTTAGTGCTCCGGCTCTGTAAAGAGATAATACATTCCAAAATCCAATTCTCAAATCCTTTAAACATTTTCCAGGTCGTCTTGAATAGTTCCGTCCGGCTACTCTTTCCTCGGATTTCTGAACAATTTAGTTTTTACGGTGTGAGGTTGTTGGCCTCACGCCCAACCCCCAACCTGGAAGACCAGGGTATCCCTCTTTGTCTGACTCCTACCCCTTCACCTGTCCGGCATGGGTGACCCTACCAGTAGCTACGCTACCGGCGGCATGCTCTCAGGGTCTCAGGAGCTCTCGAACACCTCCACCACGATAAGGTGGAGATACCATTGGTGGGGGATTGTTTGAGTCGCTCAAATATTTTTCGATGGTATGCTACAGAGAGGACACTGAAGACGATCCACGTGCATCAAAGCCGAGAACAAGTCGCACCGAAGAAAATGTGAAAAAAAGTGACTGAAATCCTCGCATCAGACGGATGTGTTACTGCAAGACTCATTGAGGAGCTTTTGGGAATACAAAAAAGTACTGTGCATCAAATTTTTGACCGAGGATTTGGGCAAACGGAAGGTCTGTGCGCGGTTTGTACTGCACGCGCTGTCAGGCGATGAAAAACTTGCCAGAGTGAAACACTGCAAAGACATGTTACGTTCGGCCCAAAGTGATACAAAATTTACAAAACCGATTGCTACTGGTGACGAGACATGGTATTTTCAATATGAGCCTCTCATAAAGCGGCAGAGGGCAGCGTTGTTGAGCCCAAAGAAGCCGAAACCAAAGAAAGGGCGCATGCATAGAGTCGAGTAAATACACTGCTAACCGTTTTCTTCGATTCCAAAGGAATCATTCACAAGGAGTTTCTGCCAGAAGGTCAGACAGTGAATTCTGATTATTATCTCGGAGTCCTCAATCGTTTGTGGGCGAGAATTCTTCGAATTCGACCTGAATATCCAGAGCAAGGTTCCTGGTCGCTCCTCCACGACAATGCCCCACCCCACAAATAGATCGTGCGGGATTCTTTGGCCAGAAAAGGGATCACAGTCCTTGATCATCCTCCGAAATTCACCAGATTTGGCTCCAGCAGATTTCTAGTTGTTCCCCAAATTTAAGTTGGCAATGAAAGGAGACCGTCACGACACCATCCAGGACATCCAAAGGGAATGTACCGCAGTTTTAAATGCGATTCCACGAAAGGAGTACAGTGACTGTTTTCGAAAACTTTTCAATTGATTCCAGCTATGAAATGATTCAGAAGGAGACTGTTTTGAATAAACAGAGTGAAATTTTGAAAATAATTCACGTCTTGTATTTTTAATGAACACAGTCCTAACAGAACCTGGACACACTGTGTATGTGAGGGCCTAATGATGACACGTGTCACCCATCTTCTACAAACTGGTAAGAGAAAACACATTCAATGCCTGACATCTTTTGCATATTCCTTTGATGTTTATACTTTTACTTTGGTATTATTATTCTGGGTAAGCAATTAAACTCTTGTCTGATTTCTGCATCTCTGTTTATATTGTCAAGTGTATGAGCGTGACTATAGACGGGGTTCATGTTGGTAGTCGGATTTACTGACCACTTACACACACAAACCGTGACTACACTTCACAAATCACTACCACACACAGACTAGTGTTCTCAGACTCTTAGAGTCTCCACTAGCCGTTGCTTGGTAGAGACTTCGAACGGCAGACGTTCCCCTTCCTCTGGGTTCCCGAACTATTCCCGGCCTCAGTTGCCAGCTTCTCATAGCAACAGCACACAACTGAACTGCATTTTTCTGAGTAACTCACTAACTCATCAACCAAATTTTCACTAACTCGTCCTGCTCATAATATCTCGTCACTGACAGCACAGAAATCACTGTTCATCTGTTGCAGTGCAATTTTTGCCGTGGAAACATGTTTGTTTGCGTAGCCGCTTATTTCGCGGTCGTTGCCTAGCAACAGGTCTACATGTCATAATGTGACGCTGTCAGCAACTGAGACTGGATGGATACGAAAGAATATGGAAGGAAGCGGTCATGGCCATATTTTAAAGTAACATCCCGGAATTTACCTGTGGCGACTGGGAAAATTACGAATATTCTCAGCAAGATAGTCAAAATCCCGGTCGAGATCCGAACCAAGGACCTCCTGAATACAAGCGTTATCGCTTGAGCTAACCTGCTCAGTTGAATATTACCAATGTTTCCCGTGTTTATTAACAGGTCTACCGACAGTTCCGCATTAGCGACAAACTACGACTGCAAGAGAAAATGTCGCTGGAAGAGTTTTACAGAGCCAGTGAACTGTTGCTTAGCAACGGTTCTAACAGTGCTGGTGCCGCGACCCTCATCCTAGGGCTCGTCACGACGTTCCTCAAGAGCAAAGATGGGAAGGCGCCCCCTGCAAAACTTGACGGCAGCCATTATGACTTCGTGATAGTGGGGGCGGGATCCGCAGGCAGCGTGGTCGCAAACAGGTTGGTGCCCACTTAACGCCGCGAATTCCCCAGCGTTTCGCCCTTCATGAGACAGAGTCCACAGGTAGAGTCCGTGTCCTTAGACTGGCCGTTCTAAGCAGAATGCGCAGTGCATTTGGTCGTGTCCACTAACAGAGATAAGGGATTCTACCGTGAGTATAAGTTATGGGGGCCCATACACGTACGAGTCTGGCTTGCGAGTCCGACTCGGCTCGGGTTCCAAAGAGCCAAACTCGTCCGCGTGTGGGTCGCAAAGTTGGGAGTCAGCTCATGCGTTTGTGGTGAAATTAATCCGAGTCCGGCTCCCGAGTCAAGCTCGCCGAGTCGGACTCGCGAGCCAGACTCGCACGTGTATGGGCCCCTTTAGGTACAAGATTTAGTTACATTTCGTCACCCTTCCTCATTCCTGCACTACAACTGCAACTACTGCAGCCACACTTCTCACGCACAACCCCGAGGCCAGATTAAAAAAAACAGGGGAGGCGGTCCCTTACAACATACACCGTGAAAGAGCAAAATTCCGTATGTAAAAGGTAAAAAAGGTAAAGCTATCTCTGCAACAGGCCGTGGAGGCCCATAGGGTTGAGAGACGTCGAGGCTCCCACATTATCTAGACAATCGTCTCACAGCTGGAGATGAGGTTGTCAGCCTTACTCGTCAGCCATCCTTTAACCCTAGGAAGGTTCCTCGTACTCATTTCTGTTTGACGTTGAGTCGACCCCCGGGTCATAGTGCGGCTGGAAGGACTGGGTCAATTGAGAAAATTCAATAGTCTCATCGGGAATCGAACCCGCGACCTTCCGACTTGTAGCATAATCCTCAACCAACTACGGTACAGCGTGCTCGAAAACTCTGTATGTGATGTAAAGTTCTGAGTTATCACGGTGGTGAAACTTTTAGTCATGACTCCGTGTTGTCTGGTTGGTGGTTATTAACGTTTAGGCAGTAACGGCGAAGGGGGGTGGGGGTGCGGAATATTTGGGCGAAGTGAGCGTCGGCTCAGTACCTCGCTTGTTATTTTAATGGAATAATTGGTTTATAATTCGAGCATTACCGTGGATAGTAACGGAGGGTAGTAATAATCCAGCACTGTAAAAAGCAAAGTCACGTGATTCACTTTGTGCCTTTGTTTCACCGTTAATAACCTAGTAATCTCTAACACAAAGAGACTGTGTCTCTTCGAAAATGACGCTTAATGTATTTTGTGGATGTGAATTTACTTTTAATTTCGAACACGTGTAATAGGAATGAGAATGTAAGATTTGAGGCTTTCACGGCGGTGACTATGAAGAAAGCAGTCTTCTGGGATTTGGCACCGTGTATATGTGGTGTTAACCGACGTTTCGGAGGAACGTATCGCCCCCATCTTCAGGGTAGAANAGAATGTTTTAAATTAAAATGTTCACCTTACTTTTTCATCATTTCTACAAAATCTATTGCTATTGTGTACGCATATAGGGGTGGCACATTTCTGCAGTGGAATTTGGTTGCTTCTTTAAAGAAGCTGTAACAATACCTAACAATGAAGTTACGTAAGGACCTTCGAAATGGCTGAAATTCGAGCTACAACAGCCTCCACAATAAATTGCATTTTCTCACATATTTCCGAAAAGGGCCTCACTAGTCCATTTCACCCTGGGCGTCGTTATTCCCTACGTCGCTTCCGCGTCTCGGAGGAACCCGTTGCTACCGTCTTCTTCCGAGACGTCGAAACGATCCCTTATACAACTCAGATTTGCCAAGAGTTTCCGTCTGGAAGTGACTTTAAAATGCGCACAGGAGGACACATGGACACTCGAAGTTTACTGTAGTCTGAGACGAGAGGAGACGCCGTACAGTCTTATAGATAGGTACCAACCTTTAGGAGGAAACTGCTACCTTCGCATTCAGGGCAGAAGAATAAGTCGAGAGTTGAGAAAAACGCATGGCTACAGGGTACAGGAGGACCGAGAAAGGAGACACTAAGCAGACCTGTAGGAATAACGGGCAGAGGTAAGTTGAAGTTCTCTCCGTGCTTAACCAATTAAGCACTACACCATAAAGACATAAAGGGAAGTGGATGTATAGACCCATGGTTTCTTGACCTTGGCAGTAGTTGGAGGTGAGTCGTCAGCTTGACGCCCCGGCCGCTTTACTACCAAGAAAAAAGCCCCGTTACCCACTGAATAGGAAGGTGGGTGGAGGACACAGAGAAGTAAAAATTCTTGCCCCCACCGGGACTCGAACTTAACCCCTTGGTCGTAGAGCCTGTAGCCATTCGCTATACCGAATGCGCTATCCCTGGAGACTGCAAAATATATTGGTCGCTCAAAAGACCGTTTTCCACGGGCAGAGTAACTGGGGGAAATACTTTCCTTACCCTATAACAGTACTTATTTCTATGATCGACTTAATTTTTTTCGCCGAAGATGGAGGCAGAAGGTTCCTTCGAAACGTTGGTATCGGTCTACCAGACTACACGATGACACAACCCAGAAGACAGTAATATGCAGTCACCGTCACGATAACTTCAAATCTTGCACAGATGGACATTTGTTTCTTAGGCATTTCTACGAAGCAAAGAAAGAACGCCTTATGGGAAGTCATATATACGAGTATCCGTCTGTTAGCCCGTGCCCATAGCCCACATGGATATATACACGTATTCTTAAAATTCAGGGTGAAGGCTTCCAGCAAATGTAGGCTGGATATTCCGACTTTTTAGCCATGCTGGTTGATAATAAAGAATGATTTACATGAGGCTATAAATGGAATTTTCCTGGCATCTCACAAATCCTTTCACGGACATTGTTCGAAATCGATACGGGACACTTCCGCCAAAAGCTGCTGGGCAGTTCAATTTTCAGCCATCATCAACATCATCATTGGAAAAACGGCTCCTTTTGAGCCATAGCCTAAGTAAAGTAAAAAGTAAAGCTATCCCTGTAACAGGCCGTTAAAGCCCATAGGGTTGTGAGATGTTGAGGGTCCCACATTATCTAGACAATCGGCTCAAAGATGGCGGTAAGGTTGTCAGCCTTACGCGCCGGCCGCGCTTTACTCCCCAGGAAAATTATTTAATTAATTTCTGGTACTCATTTCTGTTAGAGGCTGAGTCCGACCCCAGGGCCAAAGCGCGGCTGGTAGGATTAGGTCAATTGGAAAAAAATCCAATGACCTCATCGGGACTTGAACCAGCAACCTTCCGGCTTGTAGCATAATCCCTCAACCAGCTACGCTACCGCGTGCCAAGCGAGCGAACAGCCCGTTGCGTATCATTTTCCAACGGAAGGATGATACGGGGTACCGTCCACACTGATACGATACGGAGATACGATACGGGGATACGCAACTGCATAACGGCCGGCTTACGCTACATGCAACAGCTCGCTAGTGTGTAGCGGCCTTGCGACGGACTTACCCCCGTCCAAGGAGTCCTACCGACTGTCTTAGATTAAGAAACTGAAGAGAAACGAAGCATTTCACGGTACCCTAGGCTCCCGTTGGGAGCAAAGTAGGAAGGAGAAGAAGAAGAAGTGACAAGGTGGCCCAGTTATACCCCCAGATACTGGGTTCCCTTTTCGTCGCATTCTACGTCTCTGAGCTACGGTGGAGATATTCTATCGAGTTTCCACATGTGGGAATTTTCAATCATATTGACCCAACGTAATATGGCCATAGATGGAATTATCCATGCACTGCATAACCCCTTCCACAGATTTTGTCGAAATTCAATAAGAGAGACTTTCACTAATCTTCCTATTTTTTTAAGTAAGATTATTAAATTTCAAAGAATTCAGTTTGTAATTTCATGTCCTGCATAACGGAGTACCTACTCACCGGTCTTGTTATTGTGTAGCCTAGCTTACTTACGAGTACTTCTTGTTCATTCACCGTGTACACCTGTCACAACAGTTTCTTTTCAAATTTACTAAAAGACGCATTTCCTCTTTTCATCCACTTCAGTGCCCCCTAGACGGCTGTTTGTAAACCACTGAAACTTGTGTCATTTGTAATAACCTCTACCGCCTATCTCTCATTTAGTGCAAATTCAAAGAGAATGTTTTTCTATCAGTATGTCCTCATTTGTGGTTAATATTTTATAGCCTAGTGGCTACTATATGTATCATCTGTCTTAACGCTCCGAATCTCTGCATTCTGTCCTCACAGTGTATTTGTATGTTTCGTACGGTTCTCACAATAAACAGCGATTATTTTCCCTAAACAGCATTAACCGGTTGGGCTTTGTAGCGGAGATGTGATGTGTTTTCTATGAGGTACGAACTGAACTCTGCATTCTGCCCACACAGTGTATTTATGTGTTCCGTATGGTTCTCACAGTAAACAGCGATTATTTTCCCTAAACAGCATTAACCGGTAGGGCTTTGTAGCGGAAACGTAACGTGTTCCCTGTGAGGTACGAACTGAATTTATAAATATTATACAGAAGAAATTTAGTCTTTATACGGTAAAGTACGATAGCTTTGACAGAGTCTCAGAGAACAAATACAGAACAAGACGTGAGCTGCACTATGTCTCATACAGGAAAACTTCTAAACCTGGCCCCAGCTACATCATACTCACAATATCAAGGAAGAATCATAGAGGGAGAGCCAGTGTACCGTTAGAATGGCCAAATCGGCATTCCTAACCATCTTGAACTATTTATTCTCAAATACGTAACTTGACAATTTAATATGAACCCATACACACTGGGTGTAGTACTAAAATTCTTTTAACTTTAATCTTAATCTTAATTTTCAACGAATTTCATTTTAATTTAATACCAATATGGCTTAAAGCCGAAGAATAAAGAAACCAGGGGCTCGCTACTAAGCGATAATCCTGTCGTCAAATACAAGTATGAAGAAAAAATATGGATCAATATCGAACAAAAAATCAGCATCCAAGTATACAGATGCACCTGATGATGACCCAATAGGGATCAAAACATGTCGTGATTAACATTAATGTAAATGAATGTTGGCATTATTTTTACCTGAATTTTTCTGTTGACGGATACGAAATGCTGTTTTATAGGGTCAATTCTTCGTAAATTTCTGCATTCAATGTTTTCCTCAGGTATCTACGTCTCTTCCTAAATCCAATTCTTATTATTTCCAAACAGATTGTCTGAAGTGCCACACTGGAATATTCTACTGTTAGAAGCAGGAGGAGAGGAGACACAAATCGATGACGTACCAGCATACAAAACATATTCACAATCCGACAAGTCCACGATTCTTTGGCCGCACTGGACCCAACCAGAACCAAAAACATGCGGCGGAGGCCCCTGCTTCTGGCCTGGAGGCAAAGTTCTTGGGGGTTCAAGTACCATCAACACTTTGATCTATGCAAGAGGCTTCAAGGAGGATTACGATAACTGGTATAATCTAGGGAACTACGGATGGAACTGGCGGTCAGTCCTCAGGTCCTTCAAAAAGTCTGAAAATAATCTAGACCATTTATATTCCCAAGATAGCGTATATCATTCGACAGGAGGATATTTGGATGTACAGACGTTTCCTTACCACGACAAAAACACTCATACAATATTAGATGCATACAAGGAATTAGGATATAACAACACAGATTACAATGGTCCTCATCCAACCGGAATATTTTTGATGCAAGGAACAGTTAAAAATGGAGTCAGACAGAGCACAAACAACGCGTTTCTCAGACCGATTCGTCACAGAAAGAACTTACACATCGCAACTGGCATTAGAGTCACGAAGCTGAATATCGATAAATATAAGAGAGTAACGGGAGTAGAATACGTACTCGATGGTAACCATGCTAAGAAGGGGAAAGTTTATGCAGACAAGGAAGTAATTCTCAGCGCGGGTGCTCTATCTTCACCTCAAATTCTCATGCTTTCTGGAATAGGCCCCAAAGAAACGTTAAACGACTTGGGAATAAAGGTTGTCAAAGACTCGAAAGTTGGTTATAACTTGATGAACCATCCCACCTCAGTAGGTGTCACTGTCAACCTTACCAGATCATCAACCGTGCCTAGCACTAAAGAGGAATGGCTTGCGGACATCCAACAGTATGTAAAGACACGCGATGGGCCTTTATCAGCAATAGGAATCTCCCAATTGTCGGGTTATATTCCTTCTTCTATCGCCACAGATGGTTATCCGGATCTTAAGTTCGGATTTTCTTTCAGTGACGTAATAACTGAGGGCATTAGTATTCCAGGGTCATATTACACACAAATTACGATAGGTCCTTATTATGTTAGGCCGAAAAGTCGCGGATTCTTCACTATAAACTCAACTAACCCATTTGATCCACCACTGGTTCACCCGAACCTGTTGGCTAATCCAGAAGACAGAAAGCCTCTTATCGAAGGACATCTTTTCGGCATGAAACTTGCACAGACTAAAGCGTTTGAGAGAAACGGTTTCGTCTTGGACACAACACATATCCAAGGCTGTGAGGGCGAAACGTTCGGGACTTACGCTTACTTTAGCTGCGCGCTGGACCAATATGTTGCGACAGCCCATCACATGTCAGGTACTTGCAAAATGGGAAACGTGAGTGATCCAGACGCTGTAGTTGACCCAGAACTGAGGGTTTATGGTGTCACGAAGTTGAGGGTAGTTGACGCTTCCATTATGCCTGTCATTCCAAGTGCTAACACCAATGCTCCTTCTATCATGATCGGCGAAATGGCCTCAGACTTCATAAAGTTGGCCCACCCCTGGCGACACAGTTATAGCCACATTCGTAAGAAATCATGGCGGTCGTAGAATACGTCATCATTCTTTTTTATTGTTAACATTTGCTGTTTCTAGAAAACCAAATTTGTATTTCCTATGCTGAGAAAACTGTCAACACTAAACCACTGATACGAAATACAGTTACTAATAAAGATGTATTTCGCTTTATATTGTGTGAATCAATTGTAATAAACATTCCAATATGTTCAAGAAGAAATAAATTACTTTACTTTTCCTTACCTTAGACCAGTTGTTCTCAAACTGTGGGGCGCGACCCACGGGGGGGGGGGGG